ATACAAATATCTACTAATTTACCAAAAAAATAATGCTACATAATTATGGTAAACGATGAATCTGACAATTTCAACAATGAATAACTATACCAACCTGATGAATAATACAAAAATCTACCAATTTCCCAGAAAAACAACATCCAATAGAAGAACAAAACTCTAAAATTGATGAACAAACATCGTCAATCTAGTGAATATACCTTACATCTACAGAACCCAAACAAAAAAAAAAAAAATCAATGGTTGAATATGAAGAAAACTTTAAACTTGATGAACAGATATGCATAATCGAATGCATATAGATTAAATCTACAAAACCCATCAAAAAACGGATCAATAGTCCAAAAGATTAATAGTATTACCTTTGTTCATCTTCACTTTCCGAACTGCTTCTGTTCGGTTCAGGATCCTCAATCGGTGGTTTCTGCGTGTATGAATTTTTTTCATGTATTATCTTAAATCGCATCTTGAACAGAGTATATTTCCACAATTTCCACTGGATTTGATGTATAATCTGATTCCGTCCCAAAAATCCAGCCGACGAGAGGTTTTCTGGCCAAATCGCTGTAGAGAAAATTTAATTTTTTAGTTTTTTTTTTGTTTGAGACGGATTGTGATGAATGGGTGGAAGATGGATATGATTAATGGCTGAAAATTAGGAAGAAATGGTGTACCTAGGATCCCTATATTATAATTGTGGGCAAATAATATTAAGATCCTAGTTACACTTTGTAAGGTGTACTCAGGCAGTGCGTGTATCACAAACTTAGGAGAAAAAGTGATCATTTTAGTCCGAATTTTTAGTTCTCACACGCACATTTAATCATCGAATTTTATCCCTATTTTTTTAGCATTTAATCCCCATAATTTTATACCCATTTTTTTGGCATTTAACTCCTTAATCTTATCCTCTTTTTTTTTTTGCTTATCATGTTAGCTTTTATATTATTTTATTTTATGAGATAATTTTTTTATAACGATGGATTTTATTTTAGTAAAATTGACTATGGTTAATCATTGAAACTTATGAATATGGAGAATCATTGTGTATTTTTCCAGTAATGAATAACGAACGTTTAGACAATGAACAATGTTATGCAATTATTGAAAGATGATTGATGTAGAATGTATTCGTTTTATTGATGAATATATATGCGTAAGGGAATGCGTATTATATGGTTAATGATGAACAGGAATTTTATTGTTATTTTCTGACCGATGGTGTATTATCTTATTACATTTTTATGATGAATATCTTACGTTAATTAATGAATAATGAGTTCTTATTGATGAATAATTGGACGATGTTTCACCTCTGAGGAAGAGGCTTTTACTGCTTATAATTCTAGAGCATTGTTTTTTCATTAAAAAAGTTCAAAGATTGGAAAATGTCCAAATCTGGTGTTGTATATTTGAAACAATTTGCATGTAGCAAACAAGGAGTAAAAAATTCATGAGGTAGATGATATACAACAATGAATAATTATACCAAACTGATGAATACGGCAATTTCAACAATGAATAATTATACCAAACTGATGAATAATACAAAGATCTACTAATTTACCAAAAAAATAATACTAGTTTACAAAACTGCTGAATAACTCTCTATATCAATGTCTACACTTATTGTGGTTTGGTCTTTTTGCAAATTCAGATATCCTGCTTCTTTCGGCTTCTGATTGTTGTTCTTCGCTCACGCTTCTTTCAGATTCTGTCTGATATTCTTCGCTCATGCTACAATATGTTTACAAATTCCATGAATAGCTTGTCAGATGTGATGAATTTTTTAGTGTGTTTCTTAATATCAACGTATCAAATGTATCACAAACTTAATGAATGACTGTTCGATGAATTAATGAATAAATGTATATAGATGATGAATAATCTGGGATTATGAAATCGGAAAAATTAATAATAATTGCTGACACAATGAATAACATCCCTTTACGGATGATTATCTCAAAACAAATTTTACAACAAATTATGATGAATACCAATTACCAAATTGAGAAACAAATTTAATGAATAAATAACACATAGTTGTGATAAACGATGAATCCGGCAATTTCAACAATGAATAATTATACCAAATTGATGAATAATACAAACATCTAATAATTTACCAAAAAAACAATACTACATAAGTATAGTAAACAATGAATCGGACAATTTCAACAATGAATAATTATACCAAACTGATGAATAATACAAAGATCTAGTAATTTACCAAAAAAACAATACTACATAGTTATGGTAAACGATAAATCTGACAATTTCAGCAATGAATAATTATACCAAACTGATGAATAATACAAATATCTACTAATTTACCAAAAAAATAATGCTACATAATTATGGTAAACGATGAATCTGACAATTTCAACAATAAATAACTATACCAACCTGATGAATAATACAAAAATCTACCAATTTCTCAGAAAAACAACATCCAATCAAAGAACAAAACTCTAAAATTGATGAACAAACATCGTCAATCTAGTGAATATACCTTACATCTACAGAACCCAAACAAAAAAAAAAAAACACCTATGGTTGAATATAAAGAAAACTTTAAACTTGATGAACAGATATGCATAATCGAATGCATATAGATTAAATCTACAAAATCCATCAAAAAACGGATCAATAGTCCAAAAGATTAATAGTATTACCTTCGTTCATCTTCACTTTCCGAACTGCTTCTGTTCGGTTCATGATCTTCAATCGGTGGTTTCTGCGTGGATGAATTTTGTTCATGTATTACCTTAAATTGTATCTTGAACAGAGTATATTTCCACAATTTCCACTGGATTTGATGCACAATCTGATTCCGTTCCAAAAAATCCAGCCGACGAGAGGTTTTCTGGCCAAATCGCTGTAGAGAAAATTTAGTTTTTTGGTTTTTTTTTTTTTTTGTTTGAGACGGATTGTGATGAATGGGGTGGAAGATGGATATGATTAATGCCTGAAAATTAGGAGAAAATGGTGGGATTTGAAATTCCAAAAATCACACAAAATGGGAAATTAAATGAGATTGTTGTAAATATTTTGAGAGATGTCCATTTTTGGGTCACGTGAGATTCACACTAGGTAAACCTAGGATTCCTATATTATAATTGCAACTTGTGATTGAATTAGTTTAACTAATCTAGATCTTGTTATTACTAGACTCATCCGGAAAAAAAGTTTTTGTACTCAAAATAAACTAGTTCGTAGAAAATTCAAAGTTAACTTTTTTATATAAGAATGGTGATACCTGCAAGAAAAAAAATTTGACAAGGAATTTATGGGGAATGTAGTGGCTAAATCTTAACTATCTCCTAAATTTTAAATGGATAAACTCCTTAAGGAAATGTATAAGTATGAGTGGTTATGATCTATTTCCTATTACAATGATTTATAAGATTTTGCTGCACCAATAAATCATTATCCTTTAATACTCCATCTAATCCTAATTATATGACTTCTGTTGAAGTCTTTTCCTTGGTCTTACTTAAGACATCGAATATGTTTAATATGTTTCATTTATAGTGCATCATTTTAACTTTGATCATATTTAAATTGACTAAACTTTAATTTGATTAGCTCCCGAAAAGGCAAGACACATTTAATGGGCAATATAGGTTGTTCACAAAAAAAAAAAAAAAACTTACTTAACTTCTTAAGTTTTATAAGCTAGTTATTTGTGTAAATTATTAAGAACCGGAGGGAATAATTACAATAGCTCCGTACTTACTTTGTTCTAAAATAAGCGTTATTTTAATAAAATTAAGAAAATCTAAAAAAAAGTATCGTTTTATAATTTTAATACACTTTTTGTCAAAATGGACAAATAGTATTATTGGCAATCATTTATTTTAATATGGTTACTTGAGAATATTTTAGTAATTTATCTATCTTATTTAAATATTTCTTAAACTGTGTGCAAGTTGTCTAATGACATTTATTTTAGAAGGAATAAGTAGTTAATTAAAATCACAAAAGTTTTTCACTATTTCAAATAGGACATGCATAAACAATATTACCTCCGTCTACAAAAATAATTCATATTGAGTTTTTAAATTTGTACTAAAAACAGTACAAAACTTAAAATTCAATATGAACTATTTTTTTTTTGGATGGAGGGAGTATAACGGAAAAATATCAGCTAAAAACCCTTATATACACAAAAATGAAACCTAATTCCTCCACATATATGTAATATTACTTTCAAATGTCTAACTACTGCTACTAGGTTCTCAGTCATTCTCGTTCACAATGATTGTAGTTATTTCATAAGCGTACGTTCAAATTATTAGCGCGGTTGTTAAGAAAAGAGAGGCTAGTAAATCGAGTTGAGTTCATTGTGTATTGATTCGGATAGCACGTAAGCCGGCTTTTTTTTTTTTTCCCTTTCTATATTGTCAGAAATGATTGCTATTCTATTCGTTCTGTTGCACTACATACTTCCGATACATAAAATAAATAAAATTCTTGAAATAATTTCACGTTCAAGGCTGGAATTCGAACGCCTCAGTTCAGTAATGTTCAGCCAACTTTTAAATCTGCCTCTAAACGGATCAAAACTCTCATTATTGTACTCTGTGGTAGCATTAGCTATCCTATCACATCTCTACTTCAATACTTCAGTTACTCTTTTCTTTTTCTTCTTTTTTTTTATGGGGGGTTTTCCAAAACTTCAATCTATATATATATATATATTTTGAAACACTTCAATCTAATGACTTCGTGGATTAGTATCTGTCAGCCTTTGTATCTGTCATATAAGTTTATAAAAAAAAAAAAAAAAAAAAATCTGTCATATACTAGTATTATTAAGATACTTTTCCCACGTGAATAATGCACAAAGATCAATGTGAATGCAGCTTTTGTTTTTCCACCATTTGACCCACCAACTTTCATTAATTTACTAATTCCAGTGCTCAATTATAGGGTTAAGCGCGACTATTTAAGCATGCATAGGAAAAGGAATTTCTTTTTTCTTCCCAAGCTGTACAAAAAAATAATACTATATCTATATAAATACACATTAATCACCGTGCAGGAAAAGAGACATGATCCGTTTATAGCGTAAACCTTTTGGTCAAACTAGAATATCACAATAATCCCATTCATCACTATAATTAGTCTCCTCCGCATCACTTTCATTCATCCATTCCTATTCATTCATATTATTCTCTTCTTTCTGAATATACATAGTTTTCGAAGACAAAAACTTTCCAAGATGATGAAAACAACCACATTGTTGGCAGTACTCCTTGTGGCAGCCATGGCTCAAATGGGCCATGGAATCCCAGACCAAACCCCACAAGGAGTGGAGAATTGGTTCAAAAGGCTTCCCAATGCAAAGGAGAAGCTCACTAAGCTCCATTTCTTCTTCCAGGACGTTGTTTCTGGGCCAAAGCCCACAGCTGTTGAAGTTGCTAGGTCCAAGCTCACAGCAAACTCGCCCACATTTTTTGGGCTTACCAGGGTTTTCGATGATCCATTAACAGTTACTGGATCACCCGATTCCAAGATCATCGGTTATGGTCAAGGGATCTACTCGTTGACTTCACAGGAAGACGTGGCTTTGCTTTTCACCTTCAACTTTGTTTTCACTGACGGCAAATACAGCGGCAGCACTCTGAGTCTTCAGGGCTACAATCCCCTGGAAGCCAAGTACAGAGAAATGGCGGTCGTCGGTGGTTCCGGCATTTTCAGGCTCGCCAAAGGAAGTGCAGTCGCATCGACCTACTGGGCCAACGCAACCACACAAGACGGTATCGTTGAGTTCACAGTGTATGTCCTCCACTACGACGTTGATGGTGATCAGTATTCCCAGGACATTTAACCTTTTTTTTTTTTTTTGGTTTTCTTGTTTACCGGATCTCAAGTACTGTTGCAGTTGTTTTCTAGTTTTTCTTGGCTTTCTTATGGTCATAATCAATGTCTGTAGATGGGCTTTGATTATGGAATAAAACTTTGTATTTGGAAAGATTCGACTTCGAATGAATGATGAATTTTTCCTCTTTCTTCTTATAAGTAATTAATTTCTCGTGATACATGCAAGACTACTACTTCCGTTGATAATAACTAGTGCTTATTGTACGGGTAGAACAATAGATAGTGGTGTTCTACAAAATCTAATCCCTGAAAATAAAAAATAAAAAAAAATCACAAAAAATGATAATAAAAAAAATATTGTAAATTGTGCCACCATAATCACTAATCAGAAAGACTCAGAAAGCTTAACAGGTAATGATGTAAAATAATCTTCTGCTAAATATTAAGCAATCTAACCAAGTCCCTGCTTTCTTATCTTTTGTACTTATCCTCCCTATGGAAATAAGTAAAATTAGTCTCCCAAATCTACTTACTTATATATCCTGCGGGATGGTGGTCGCAGTTTGGGTAGTTTTGTTGTTATTGCCAACACACTAGTTCCCTGAATCATTTCATTAACGATCTCCAATCTAATTAATGAAAACAGATCATAAGTGATTTTGTAAATTAAACGAAGGAGATAAATATCTATTCACATTTATTTGAATTTTGGTGGAAAACAGCAATAGTTTTGTATATGCCAAGAAATGCATCAGCAAGAAATCCCCCAATCAGACAAAACATAGTTTCCAAATAATCTTTCACAATATTGGCTGAAGTTGCACTTGTGAGGTGCATGGTAACTCCCCAACTAAGTGGCCAAGTTCACTGATATTCCAAGCGTCAAAAGCCTCTCGACAACTTTGATTCCTGTACACAAATTTTGTACAACCAATTTCACATCACAAGCCTAAATATTAACCAACTCGCATGCATTCACATAGTTCAACCATAATTAAAATTAAAAAAAAATATATTAGTCGCTGGAAAACATACTAAAAAGTCTGAAAATTAACGAAACATAATTCATTTTCAATGATAAAATGGAAACCTGCTAGCGCTCATGATACATACGTAATAGCTGATTCTCAGGTCTTGTCAATATGAAGTTCTTTTACTTCAGTATAACAACAGACAGGTAAACTGATTCTCCAGACCTCCTGGTTTAAGTGTGAGCTGGAGAAAAAAGTCATATTTACTTGTCAAGTTTCAGTTATGAATATTGTTTGTACTTTATATTAATTATTTGTTGGTAAGTGTTTCAAATCGAGTTAAACTAATACATTATGAATTAAATCGATTGATACTTTACAAAAGACTAGATTTCAAAGAACAAAAGAACATGTGATTTAGATTGAGTGAATTGAAATGTTAAGGACTAAGTGGAAAATTAATGGAAGGACTTAGGTAACAATTTATGTTAACTATTTCTGAAACTCATTTTCTGATGTCACCGTCAGCTTTGTTAGTAATTCTTGAATTTGCAATCATTGTTCTAGAATAGATGCGTTTAGAATCTGCATTGTAGTGTAAGTGTTCATCTCTTCCATTTGTCCTTATACACAGCGGATACTTTGTGAATGATATTGAAATCTTTAACTTCTCTAACTACTTTCAATTGGTGTTCTATGTTTAGATGTTGCATCTGAGAAGGAAGACAGTTCCAGGGGGCTGAGATTTATGTCCGTTACTTTTATGAAAGAAACTTCCAGTTTGAGACTCAGATATAGGTTATGGCAAGAAGATAAGCATTTGGAAAATATTGTAGAAACTAGGACAAAGATAACTAACCACTAAATATGCATTCGTTGTAAGTAAAACGTAGAACAAGATTTTAAGAATCCTCGAACCTAGTCAAAGTGATAACATGGTAGTTGGGATTAACTCTGAAAACTTAGTTACTGTATGAATGAGCATATTAGCTCAAGAAAGTAACATGATTGGGGCCCACGCATGTTTAGTTAATAACTAACTAAACTAGATTAGTTCTATATTATGTATATACGTTAGCCCGAAAAGAGAATGTGATCATTGAGTGACATAAACTCATTTACAACTTACACAAGGACTATTACAGGTCTATAATAAAAGAGAATGAATGGGAAGAAAAGAAAATATTGATGAGTTCGAATAAGAAACCAACAAACTTTTAATAGTGATAAGATAAAACTTCCATCTATGGCATAGACCTTACAGGCTGAGAGTAACTTGTGGAAATTCATAAAGTGCTAAAAGCCATGCATAAGGGAGAATAAGTAACAAGAAACTTGGTAATTTGGACTTATTGAAAGGAAATATAAAGATATGAATGGTGAACATTTTGTCATCGGGTAATTAGACCGTTAGTAACTGAGAGAACTACATGTAGGACAGAAGTTATATAAATAAAATAAAATATTCAAAGTAGGACATTGATATGCTAGGAATAAATCATGATATAAAGGCAGCTTCTCTGATTTTGCCTTAAAAGGATAAATAGGAGACATCATTGATGATTGATCTAACTTGCTAAACACTAACGTAGACGAGATAGTGGTTTAAACAAAAAGAAAATTGAGAGACATTTGACTAGGTTAATGGTAAATGGATAACCATGCTATATGATCATATTAAAATAATGCTAGCTTTTGATGAAGATGTATAGTTCAAAATACCCTTTATGTGTTATAACGAATCATCTAATGAAGAGCTTTCCCGTTTTCTCCATAAGCACTGTTGACCATGAGTTTGAATGAAAGTTACTTTAGTATCATAATAATATCTCTTATTACTTAGGAGTGTGATCCTTAGGTAAATGTTAGTTGAAAACATGATTAAGATAATAGTGGAATAGGAATATATATATATATATATATATATATATATATATATTTGAAAAGAACTATGACGGTATCTGGCGGGCATATCCCTCGATTTTATTAAGATAAAAAAGAATTACAAAAGACAGTAATTAAGACTTACTCAAATCAGAAGAGACCGTCTTATAGAATGTTTTTCTAAAAACTTTATGACGGTTCTCTAACAAAAATAACTATGAACTGCCTTAAAAAGATAGTAAAAATCTTTCCCCTGGCAGTTCGTATTACTTCAAAGATAAATTTAAACTAAGAGAATGCCTTACAAAGATTTGAAAACATTAATCCTTTGACATCTCTGTTTAACTTATTCTATGTCATAAAAATTATTTAATCTTAAGTAAGGAAAAGAGTTCCGATCTAAATAAGCCTCTCAATAATGCCGAAAGATCCTCTTGAGAATGATATTTCCATGTTCTTCCCATTGAGGCTTTTTTTGCAAGCTCATCTACCACACAATTTACCTCTCGGTAAATATAAACAATTTTGGAATTTCTGAGGCTCAATTTTTGTTGGATATTTTTCAAAGACAAGTATTATTTCCATGGAAAATCTTTGCTTCGTTGTAATAAGGAGACAATACTTGCATTATCTTTTTGAACTATCACTTGATGCAGTCCTCTCTCTTCGCAAGCTTTGAGTCCATTATATATTCTAGCAATTTCTGCTTCAAAGCTTGTAGCGATGCCCATATAGCTGCATTCAACAAACATGAAAGTACCACTCTCTCCTCTAATGACATATCCCCATCCCTCATTTCTTGGTTGTCCAAGTGCAGATCCATCTGTATTTAGTACTATTTCCGCAGGATCCGGAGGTTGCCACCACAACGTCTTTATCTTTTTATTTTTTTGGCTTTAGTACCTTCACCTTGAAAGATCTTCTAGCTCTTTATGCTCCCCAAAAGCCCTTGCCGTTAAACCATGAATACTCAACATATTAGTCATGACCTCCTTTATCAAAAAATTCATAGAAAAATTCATACCATCGTGAATGAATTTATTATGCAACTTCCAAATTTCTCACAAGAGGAAAATAGGTGTGACCATAATTGTTGATTTTTTTGCTGAGGAAAACCCCCCATCATTTGACAAGTTTGCAATATGTTCCACCATTCTGCATTATTCGAGATCATAATTATAAAAAGGGAGGCAAAGTATTTCCAAATTGGGGCTATACTTTGACAAGCATAAAAATATGATCAATCGTTTCTTAATCTGCATGACAAAATGGGCATCGTGAAGGGTTCATTACTAATCAAATTGTCTACAAGATTTCCGGAAAAGGAAGCAAACGAGTAAAAATTTTCCATCAAAAAAAAAAAACAAAGAAATCTTGAAGAGGATAAGCTTATTCCAAAAACTTTTTAAGAGGAAGAAATTCTTCTCCATGATGACAAGCTTCCTCATGAACTGAAGCAGTTGAAAATATTCTCGTTGATGTCGGCTTCCACACTACTTTAACCGATTCATCCACAAAGTTTAGCTCCAAGCTCTACAGTTGACCAATTTTTTGCTCGCCCAAAAGACCTGCAAAAACTAGCAAGAAAAAATCTTTGGAAAAATAGAAATCTTTTACTGTTAAATCTGATGCTTGGGGGATGCCTGAACCATTTCAAAGTATGTCTGAATCTAGCCATTAATCAAGCCAAAAGGAAGATGAACTATTGTTGCTCTGGGAAGCCCCAAGTTGATCCACCTTTATTACTCTCGACCAGCTTGTTTTTTCCTTCGATTCAGTTGAGAGAGAACAAATAAACTTTGCCCAAATTCCTTGTTTGGTCTTAATTTTCCACTAGAGTTTCATGGAAAAAGCTTGAGTAACATCTGCGAGGCTTTGAATGCCTAATCTATTTTCTGTGTACCGGAGGTTGTTTTTGTTCGTTTTATTGTTAGCAAAGATGGTGTTAAAGTTGATGAGGCTAAGGTTAAGGCAATTCGAGAATGACCTACACCTAAGTCCATCTTCGACATTCGTTCCTTCCACGGTTTAGTTAGTTTCTATCGTGGTGCATTTAACAAGTTCTATAGGCATGATGGTTTTTTGTTTAAATTAAGATAATAAATTATGTATATATGTTTGCTTGTTCTTTACATGAGAAATTAGTGTGTGAATCTCATAGTGTTGGTCTTATGGGTCATTTTCTCGTAATTTAAAGACATGTGATTTTTTGTGTGAACATTTTTACTGTCCTTATATGAAATGTGATGTGAAAAAGCTTTGTTCTACTTGTATTGAGCGTAAACAAGCTAAGCCCAGGCCACAACCACATGGATTGTATACGCCTTTACCTGTACCTTCCCACCCTTGGACTAATATTTTAATGAAT